AGCCTTTTCTTTGACTCCCATCATGCGGCAGTTTTGATTTTGTCATCTTCTGGCATTCTGAATTTCAGTGAATTTCAGCGCAAAAGAATTTTCTTGATACCTGAATTTTGCTCTCAAAGGGGGGGGGGGTGGCTCGGTTTTGTTGTCTGAGGCATCGACGTTGAGATAAGATTTTTCGGATTAAAATTTTTCTTGCCCTTTACGGCATGCTGTGACGATTCCGACTCGGTAGGACCAGGCTGTGGGAGACCGTCTGCGTGATAGGCACACGCCCCCTCCTTCAGGGCGTTCCTCTGCGATATTATGACGGGTCCGTTTCCTTCTGGAATTTTCGCCTATTGGACATTGCCCAGCTTCCACAAGCCTAGGCCGGGATATGCAGTTAGCCGCCTGGCCGACCGCTGAATTTGCATATGTTTTGTTTTGTTTTCGCTGTAAACGCGACATTTCGCAGTGCAGTCGGCGGTGACCCCCACCCCACTTAGTCACCCACTAAAGCGACAGATGGGCATTGTAGTTGACTGGGAAGGGGCGAAGGAACGAGCGACGAAACATCGCCTAGATTCGCAGGTGCGAAAGCAAGTGCAGAGCTACTATTGCGGTTGGGAATGGAAGGGAAGCAGCGTTTGGTATATTTTCAGCTGGAAGGACTCCGTTTCCTCCCTGTCTCGGCTACAGCATCTAGAGATCGCCAGGTCTCCTCATAACACACTGATGGCGTGCCTGCAACCAGCTGCGCATTTCGCTTCTCCGTTTTGGCTCCGCTTGCTCTTGTACTAAATGCTGGCCTGGCGAAAAGTTCATCTACTTCGTAGAACGAAACGGAAGTCATCTTACATTATGGAGAGGTCCTTGGAAACATCCAAGCTGGCCTGGTGTCACCTGGTAAGTCCTGCATCTGATATCTGATGCCCTCACCCATAGCATCTCGCTACTGCCAGATGCGCTACCCTGTCGCGCCTTTCAGCGGCTCTGGTCAGTGTCTAATGACGAGACATTGAGAGACTGCCACAGGAGTGTGCCACTGACAAAGAAGCTAGCCTGCAAAGAGAAAGGTACATTTTGTCTGTGACGCGCATATCACAGATACCTGAGAGTCTGCAAACCATTCTGGCCCTGGCCACGGCTGCCCCTGGCCAGAACGGGCAACGAAGATCTGCGAGGTGTGCTACGCACAAACCGTCGAGCCGTGCCATTTCGATCTCGCCGCGGGCGGCGGCGGTAAATTGCGACAACACCAAACTGCAACGTCCATGCCCATGCATGCATACTCATGTTCATGTGCCGGCCAAGGCCGCTGCTGGCCTTCAGCTAGTGGAGACCCAAGGCCTTGGGAGAGGGCAAAGCGTTACCCTGATTCGTTTTGCCTGGCCATGACGACGTATCTCGCATAGTCATTACCTTATGTATGAGACCGGTTACAGGGCCCGAAAAGCTCATGGGCCGCGAAGGAAGCCCCTGTCACCGTCAACGAAAGCCCACTTCTGCGTAAACAAACCGGACACAATACGAATTTTTGAAGGAGAGTTGTTAAGTCTTCTGAAATTTTTTGACAGGATATTTGGGAGCTCTCTTTTCGGGTGCTCGGAGAAATGAGCGCAAAGCCCACGAGCTGTTCGCCGACAGAAGACAGTTCGGAGCTGCCAGCTATCGTTGAAGCATAACATCATTTCGTCAATATGTTCTACGACAGATTGTCGATTCTCGTGGCAGAAATGAAAACCTTCTCCGTGGGGGCACACTGAACGGAAATAAACAACAGAAAAAAACAGGGAGGTTGTACGAGCTACAAAATCTCTAAACAGCTTAAACATACGGAAATCGGGCCAAGGGGCCTTTCTAGAGGTGGATGCTGAGCGGTTGCACAGAACAGAAGAGTACACGCATGAGATATTGCGAGCAGTGCACGATCGCTCGCCCAATCGCCGTTCGTCCAGGCGCCACGACCGGCAGAAAAACTCTTCCTGCCGACGCACAAGCGTACAAAATTCCGCAAAGTGACCACATCTTATGAGCTCCGCAGCCTTGTTCCACCTAATTTGGGGACCAACGTAACAGGGGTCCTTTCACCGTCTCTGTCCCTTTCTCTCTCGACAAACGTCTAGAGCGTCAAACGGCGTCAAGCCCAAGCAACCTCGGTAGCAGCCGGGATAGGTTGTCCGAGACAGGCCCCGTTATGGATGGTTGTTGCCAGCCATCTTTTCAGCTACTTTGTAATTACTTACCAGAGCTTCCTTTGCCCTGAATTGCTGTTGGTTGTTTCCCGAAAGCTACCCCTGCAGTGCCCCCCAAAAGTACAGAATACCTGCTTGTTGCGCTCCTTTGCAGTGAGCCCGCAAGTACTGCAGACCTCGGCCAGATGATTTACTAAAGGATCCTGTCAGGGCAAGTAGATGAAACGGGAAAGATGAGATGGCTCGTTCAAGATCACAATGAATTAGGGAGAGGCGTGTGGGATGCCCTTTGCGCTGACCGCACGCCCCTTTTACCACAACTCAACAGTTGCCCTTGCAGTCGGTCCGTCTGATCTCTACGTGCGTGTTCGTTTCTTCGCGTTTACTAGACCTGGGTTTCTGACTGGCTTCTACTTCATAAAGTCTTTTCCTGGCTGCTCCTTCGTCCTCCATTACGACTTTTCTCGACAGCATTCGCCGTACTCGACAACAGTCGTAGTAGATACGGAGTACGCTGTGCAGAATAAAATCCATACCTTTTAGACCACTGCCTAGCTAAAACGGTACTGAAAAAGAGAGTGATGTCTCTGCTTGGGTATGATTTCTTCGCCAGCTCATTCCCCTTCGGGATAGTGCACGGCAATTGCTTTAAATTTATTGGCGGCGGCTGGCAGAAATTTCCCTACTCAAATAGAAACAGCCGCGGTACCACGTTGTGTCTTTCCCTTTTGCCCTGAGGTTTCCTATTCAGGTCTTCCGGGCGCTTCTTTCCTGTTTGCTGCTGTTGGCAAGCAAGAGGAATTGGAGCGATGCATGTGGAAAGAGCGCCTGTGGAAGGGAAGGAACGAAGAGACATGTAGCCATGAAGTACAAAGACGAAGCAAAACGGACAGAACTGTGGCTTCCAATAATCTTTTTCTTCTTTTTCTGTTTGTTTTTCATCTGGTATTGCGAATGAGGTTTTTTTCCGTCTCCCTTTATTATTTTTTTCTCTCGGTATCCACTTCCTCCACCAACATCGTAGAGCAATCCACAGGTCTTATTTGCCTATCGGAAACTTTCGGGGCCAGGGAAGGAGCGAGAGAGTGGATTCACCAACGAAAGAAAGAGGACAAAACGATTAAAAAAAATACACAAAAATAATACGGAGCAAAGGGACATGTGTCAAATGGAAAAGTACGGTCACACTGAGAAAACAAACTTTTTACATGGGCCATCTGTGGTATGGAACGCATGCCTCGTCGCACCTTTGTTTTCCTTTAGGATTTTTCTCCAAAAATCCCCAATTGCCTTCCCTTACTCCAAATCATCCTGTGACATCACACACATCGACTTTCAGCTATCATGTGTCAAAGAATAGAGGAAAAAAAAAGTGTTTAAAAGATGTGACAAAGCAGACAACTTTTGATCGAGCTCAATGGTGCCCTGGTTGCTCCCAGACGTTTGCAGAATATTCCAGGGACTCAAAACGGTCGGAGACACACTAAACCAATCTTTACAATCGATGTGCTCCAAAGCTATGCGCATAGACATGCAAAGGTGTCTCAGTGCTTCGTTTTGGTCTTTCTGCCCGTCAGGGCAACTACAGCATATGCGAAACACAACACTGCTCGATCCCACCGTTTTCTCAATTCCAAGTTACAGCGTGTTCGGCGGGAAGAGGACTTGGAAGCCAGGTAGGAAATGATCTCAAAAGTGGCTCCCCTAACCCGAGCTAAATCCATCACGAAAGTTGCTCGCCGAGACGGAGTCCGCCTGGCCCCGCCAAGGTTTATCCAGAAGGACAACCACTCATTCCACCTCTCAATCTTGACAAAAAGGTTTGGCTTCTTTGCATCCTTTCTTCTGCTTCTTCGCGACAGGTTTCCGCACAGAAGACGCTGACGTACGGTAACAATGCGCGGACAGAGAGAGCGAGAGCGTAGCGTAGACGGTCCTTCAAACCGGCCGGCATCAAATTCATGTCGGCCAATCCACGGGGGGCTGGTTGTCATAGGATTTTTCATTTGCATTGGCGTTGCTGGCGAAGTCGGTCCACGCACAACGCGCGAAGAGTGGCCATTTCTCTTGGTAAAGGTGGGCCATAACAAACCGTCGTTGCCCGTTTCTATTTCTCACCCCCCCCCTCGGATTGGACCTTATCAATCCGCTCCTTTTCGTTGACATGTGTGGTAGTTGGCTATCTGTTTTTGATCGAAATACACTTGAGATGGTATTAACATTGAAAATAGGGGCCCAACAATACGGAGCCACTCTCAACAAAGGAGCCACGGTGATAGAAGGGCGCGAAATTCGGCAAGGGCATGACAAAACGGAGTGTCCGTAACTGCCTTCATGAAACCAAAGGAAAGAAAATCAATAGAGGCGAACGAAGGGGGCGTGTACTCTGTGTATTCGTCGCTAGTCGTCCTCCGTCAGAATTATGTTTCTCATTGACCATCGGACGGTATCTCGATGGTGCCTTGATGGTGCCTTGATGGTGCCTGAATGGTAGAGGGATGGGCGCTGACGGGCTGTGTGCTTCTCCGTAAATTTTGGTAGACGTTGATGTGACTCGCGCACATGACAAAGTGGGATGATGTATGAATGACGGCCGTGCCCCCCAGCTAATATGCCCGTCGGCCGTCTTTCATTTTTTTTTTTTTTGGTTAAAAGACAAGAGGGATGATTCAAGGCTGAGGATGTGTGAGGCTGAACCGCAACTCATACCACACAGAAGTGATCAGTGTAGGTATGCAAATAACAGTCCCAGATCCGACAGGCCTGAACCTCTTCTTTCCATTGTCCATCCTCTATCCCGTTTCGTTATTGTTTCGTTATGCCGTCTCATACTTCCTCGGGGGCCTGCTGAGACTCGTCCTTGTTGGTATATATTTTGATGAACCCCGCTGGATCACACGCTTTGTCGAGGTTGATGCGATGGTCCTTCACCCATTGCCGCACTGCCGCCTTGGATATGCGAACACGCTGCACATCCTTCGGCGCGTCGACTTGTTTCTCCCCTGCCAGCGTGCCACCTGCTGCAGCACCGCCTGCTGCCGATCCGGACACGGCCCCATTGCTCGCCTGAGTCCCCGACGATACCAAGTTCGACACACGTGCAGCCGTCGCCCCTGCCGACGCGGACGATAGCCCGTTTGTGACACCTGCCGACGATGCCGAGTCGAGTCCGTCGGTATCATCCGCTACAGCTTGGGAGGGCTCATCGGGATTGGCCAGCACATTCTCGCAATACTCCTTCGGCAGCCCCATACCGGCGTCCTCGACGATGCCCATGTCGCGGAGCACATACAGGCAGTCGTCGCGCACGATCCACGTGGCCCGGCTGCAGTCGGCAATATCGATGATCAGAGACTCATTGTCTGTGCTATTGGCTCCGTCCTTCGCACTGGTGGCGGCGGTCACGGCGCCGGCGGGCGGCCCATATGGCGGCGGTATTGTGGGTGGTGGGATAGCAGTAGCTGTCGGTTGGCGATCCAGCGAGCTGGACGGTGATGACACATTGGGGTGCGAAAGTGACGATGTTGCCGTCGTGATATCGACGCTCAACAGCCATCGCGCAATTTCGCTGCCCCAGAACCGCTTATAGCCCTTTTTGCCCAGATCGGAGATGGGTTTCTCGGGTCCGCCGAGGATGCCCTCGCGGCGCGAGATCTCGTAGGAGATGCCCATGAGCAATGCTCCAAGACCCTTGCGCTGCCACGGCGGAAACACAAGGATACAGGCCAGGTTGTTGTTGTCCCAGGACATTTTTTCTTTGGAAAAGAAGCCGACAACGCGCGGCCGTGGTGCAGCGCCCAGGATGCTGGCCTGACCGTTTGCATTGGCGCCGCTCATGGGGGACGCGGTGGCTGTGGCGGCTGCGCGCAATGACGACGGCAGGGATGGTGGTGGCGTGTAGACCAGCAAAAAGTAGTAGAAGCCCGTAACGTCAAAGAAGACGGACTTGTTGTCAAGGAAGAGCTTGGCAAAGAGCGACAGGTTCTGGCAAAATAACACGTCCTTTTCGCCGTCAACCTCCCAGATGCTCCATTCGCCCTCATCCTTGACGACTTGCTCGACGTACTGGACGTCAACCCCGCTGCTCACTCGCTTGCGTTTTCCCTTCGGCGTCGTCGACGACACGGGCACGTGGATCGTGCGCACGCCCTTGGGGTGCACGTAGACCTTTTCACCTGGGATCTGGAACTGGGAGTCACATACTTGCACGTGGCCGTGCCACGGCACGATCTCCTTGGAGTACTTGAAGCAAAACGGGCACACATAAAGCCGGTCAAGCATCGGGGGAGCGTCCTTGCCGCCGTGGCCATGACCGTGGCCGTGTGAATGGTGCGAGTGCTGGTAGTGATGGCTGGTCACGTGGTTCTCCTTGCCCGTCCCCTTGGTCTGGTGGTTGCCACGGCCGTTGTGGGTGTTTCCGGCCGTATCGCCCAGTACTTCTTTACCGTAGTAGGACGGATACCAAGCCTTGAAGCAGATCTCTCCCAAGACAACCTTGTCGATGTTACGATCGGGTTGACTAGGACTCGACGGTGGAACAGTGGACGTAGCCGCTTGTGATGTCGCCGATGTTGGGGTAGTTGCGGAACGCGGCGCCGTCGTGGCATTGTTGCTGGTGGCAGTCGTAACGATAGTTTGTTTTGGAGATCTGCTCAAATGCTGGTGCTGTTGTTGCTGCCGCGCGAAGCCTTCTTCGCGGAGTTGCTGGACCGCTTTCGGTTTTTGTGGTTGTGGCACAACCTGCGTTGGAGACGGGGGTATGTGTGGAGGCTGGATGGGTGTCGCCTTCAGATACCGTGGTGCTGGTGGTGAGGCGGGCGGCTTGATCTCAGTGATTGTCTTCGGCGGGGCGAGAGTAGTTGCAGACGCCAGAGCCAACGGCACAGGAGGCTTAATGGTTGTTTCTTTCTTCGGGATTGTTGGAGCTGGAACAGGAGACATGGCCACCGCTGCCGTGGCCAACGGTGGTGGCGATGGAGGCACAACCTCGGCCACCATTGGCCTGGCAGATGGTATCTTTGGAGGGGACACGGGCGTGACTGCTGGTGGGACGACGTTGGTTCGTTTCAGTCCACTCGCAGCTGGCTGTGGCACTGGTGGTGCTGACGTCTTGGTCCGAGGTGGTATGATGGTGGCCGGTCCTGCAAGCTCGTCCTCTGTATCGTCGATTTCCTCGTCATCGTCGTCGTCCTCCAGTTCCTCATTATTGTCCTCTTTTGCTTCAGCCTCGTCGTCCTCAGGCTCTCCTTCGTCGGCGTTGGTATCGCCGTCAGAGTCAGCAATTTCGCTTCCCTTGACAGCTTGTCTTGTATTCCGCTTTGTAGCTGCTGGACGAGCTGCAGTGCTCGCGCGGCCGTTGATTTGTGGGCGCACTGATGGCCGTCCAGTAGAACCTGGCTGCGGTGGTAGTGTCTTGCCTCCGCGCAGCTGCCGTGGCCTTTCGGCCGACTCTGACTGCCCGGTCATCCTGCCAGCCCTTCCCCTTGTATGTCGCTTCAATATCGTGCCCGGGTGGTCATTCACGTCGCTGATCTCCCCGTTACTCTCCTCATCCTCTGCTTCTTGCTCGTCGAAGTGCTCCTCTGGTTGTTCTTTCGCTGTGGTCGGTGTGCGTCGCGTCCGTCTTGTCCCCTGGTGTGTCTTTGCATCCGTAATGTTGTCGGCAGTGGGCCCTGCACCTGTGTTTCCACGTAAAGCACGCCTTTGGGGCATGTCTTTCGGTGGTACAGGGAGTGGGGGAGGAACGATCGAGTGGCGCGTCACACGGCGCGTCTTTGCAGACTGCACGGCCGAGGCCGCAGACCTGGACTCATCGTCGTCGTGCAGCTGCTTCCGCTTCGATAATGCCATTCTCAAGGTCTGTATTGCTTCGAATGCCGTAAGTGGCGCCGCAGGATCATGTCGGAGCGATAAGGAGCTCTTGGGGACAGCCGTTTAAATGTAGAGCGCGAAACGACAGTTGGTGATGTCTTTGCTGTAGATGGCTCTAACGCGCGATGGATGGCTGATTCTGCTGTGTTTTATCCGTGAGACTTTGTAAAGATTCTTTCGGAGCCAAAAACGTAACAAGAATGAGGAGTTGGCCCCTTTGAAGGGGTTGCAGCTCGTCGTTCCTGCCATGTTGTCGCGTCACTTTCCTTCCCAAAATATGCGCGTTCTCCCCGCAAGCGGTGTCACGTTACCAAACACGTGCACGCGTCATTCTTCCAAACACTTAGTACACTTTCAGCAGTTGCCATTTTTTTGAAACTTCACATTGTCGTTTTAACGTCACAACCCCATACGAAACGTCAACAGCAGCATTTGGCCAGGTTTTCCAGCGATTGGGCCTTTTTTGCTCCCCGAGATGAGAGCGACACAGCGTCCGCCATTATGATGGCCCCACGAATTGGCATGGTCAAAGGTGTGGCTCGACATGGCCCTGAACGAAGGTCCTGCCCCAGCCACAGCTCGCTTTGGACGACGACAACATGCAGTGCCTCACGTTGCGCCTCGATGGCCACGATCAGCGTGATCCGCGCCGACATTGACGAGACTACCGGCCGTCCACGGACGTCCACACCTCACCGCCAACGACGCTACCGACGATTCCCAAAATACCTGCGCGACTCGCCGAACGCGACACTGGCGATGCGCCTCAAGAGCCGCACAACGGCACTGACTTTTGAGGCATGGAAACGGTTCGACGATGTGGCGCGCAGCAAAAGCCTGCGGTTGCCCGTGCTGGCACTGCAGATGATGATCCGCAACGAGGAGGCAAGTAGGCCAACAAGCCTGTCGGAGAGCCTCAGCAGTACCGCAGACTGGCGGGTGCGGCTCAACAGCTTGGCGTTTAAGGGCATCACGGAGGCGGATATGCAGCACTGGGTGTGGATTTTGGCGGCGCCGGACCCGGATGAGCGGATAGCCCGATTTGTATCGAACAGCGAGCGGCCGAAACCGCTGTTCCTGCTCTTCCAGCTACTGCGGCGCGACGAGACGTTCCACAAGGGCAGCTCACTGATGAGCATCTACAACTACGTTGCGCGGCACCACGTACGCTCTCGAACGACACCACCCGAGGCCGTGCTGCCTTTTGGCGCTGTGCGCCGCACGCTCGATCCGGGTCTGAACACGGCGCCGCAGACGTTTGCCACACTGCTGCGGCTGCTCGTTCACCATTACTTGCGCCTATGGCCGTCGGCGTTGCCGGCTGTCGCGCGCCTTGCCGCCGAGTACGTCGAGACGCTGCCTCGCATGGCCAAGCGGGGCGAGAAGCAGGCCTTTGGTGATGCCTGCCACATCTTCAACTACGCGCTGGTGCTCTTCCAGCGCAAGTCTCCCGTCAGCCCCGTGTTCCAGATGCGCTACAACTGGCGCGCCCAAAAAGTGCTACTGGCCATGTCGACGACACTGCCGCGGCCACTGATCATCAACCGCGCTGGCTTCCGCGCCATACGCCGTGTCATGCTGGCGCTTGGCAAGTCGCCCGCCGAGCGCAAGGTGGCGCTGCGCATGGCGCGCACATGGCCGCCGTACCGGCGTGACTGGGACGGCCGTGACGAGCAGCGGCAGCCGCAGGACGATTTCAGCCGTAGCGCGCAGGCAGGCGTCTTGATGCGGGAGGCCGGGTATGCCGACGCAGAGCACGACCGAGCCCTTGGCGTCTTGGGCGGCGTTCTTCCAGGCGAGTCGCCTACGGTTCAGACGCGGTCCCTGAGCCCGCGCACGTGGACGGGTGCCCAATCCAGCCTCAACGTGTTCTCGACCTGGGCGTCCCGCGTCAAGGCAACACGTGACGTCAACGAGGCATGGCACGAGTTCAAGCAGGCGCCCGCCGCCGTTGACGGCAGCCACTTGCGCCCAAACATCCAGGTGTACGCCGAGATGTTCAAGAAGCTGCTGGCCGCACCCATCCAGCACCACCGCTCATCGTATACATCCTCTCACTCTGCGCGGCTCGATGGCAAGGAATTGCTGCCGGGCGACGTCAAGGAAGTGTTCCCCGTCAACGACGCGACTTTGACAGCGTTCGAGAAGCAGCGCCTTCGACCGCCGTCTGCCGCCATGCTCTATGAGCAGATGCTGCACGAGGGCATACGACCCGTCGGTGATTGCCTCTCGGTCCTTGTGCAAAATGCACCAACACTCGAGGCGGCGATGAAGTACTTGCACGACAGCCCTATCGATAAACAGACCATGTCCGCCCTGGAACTACCTCCTCTCCCTCTGTCACATTCCTCGCCCGTTTCCTTCTCACGACGATCATCTCATCACCACCATCACAGACACCATCAAAGGCAACAACAACAGCCGCCACCAGTTACGATTGACATTCTCCGCGGCATTCCTTTGCCAAATTTCAACGCCTACATCTACCTTATGTGCCGCTTCCAGCCCCGGCTAACGGCCGAACCCGCTCGTCTTGGCAAGCAGCGGCGGACGGGCCTCGTCCACCACGCCATCCGACTGTGTGCGCACCGCTTGCCACCCTCCATCGAAGAGGGCCGCACTTACAAGGCGCCCTGGCACACTATTATGCACACTCTGGCACAGCCCAAGCTCATGGTCAGCACAGAAAACACGGGTGACCGGCGATTCCAAGACACCGAAACGCTGGCGCTGGCGCTGCGGGTATTTGAACAGGTCTCGCGCGTCGGTGGTGTCGATGTCGTCTTATTCGACAGCTTTTGCAAGGTCGTACAAAAGTCCTTGCGGTGGGCCAACCTGACACCGGCCGTCACCATGGACGTCCCAGGTGTTGCTGCAAACGAGGACGCGTACACGGATACCCCACCGACGCAAGATCTTGCAGCCGCACCCTCACCCTCCACAGCGGAGCAAATGGAGGCAGACCTGCTGCGAAGGGCCCAAGCTGCATTGGTAGCCGCGTTCGAGGAGATGATTGGGCTGCCTGCGTACGATTTAGGCACAGACGCAGATGCAGATGCAGCAGCGAACGACGATCCGCCGTCATCACATTCGCCGTCATTTACGGCCGCCCACCACCCGTCGACACCGCACAATATCACGGCCGGCGCCATTCAGGGCTATTTGCAGACACTGGGCTACCTGGGCGACACAGACGCCATGATGCGCGCGATGCGCTGGGTGCTCCGCACATGGGACGACCTCAGCGTCCTCGAAGACGCAAAAGACCCAGACGATGGCCAGCATGCCACGATGGGGCGCGTGTTTGTGCTGTTCCGGGCATTTGTCGAGGGCGCCGGCGAGGCATCCTGGCAGATGGCCTGGCTCGAAAACCAGTTGAAGCATCTCCACAGGCGCGGCTGCACCTGGCGGTCGCCATCCAGCGCCGACGCCGACGAATACGTGCGGTGGCACCGACAGGCGCACAACGAAGCCTTCTGGGCGCAGGTGCGGCCACATGTGTAGATACGTTGGCCATGTACGATAGATTTGTGTGAATATGCAAGCGCATAGGAGCGTACATATGAAGATACTACACGACACCATAGACATGATGAAAGCATTCAGGATAGATAAAATAAGGAAGAAAGTTTGATAAAAACAATAAAACAATAAAGATTTAACACCTTCCAACAACACAAAAGTTGCAAGCCGTTATGTCGTTTGCATATTGGCCTATTTTTGGGATGCATCCAGTGAAGTACGAAGTATAGTGGTCTGGGAGTCGAGTCCAGCATTCTGCGTCAGACGCCGAGCCGCTGCTCTGGTATTTGGGGTTGGCTCAACCACTTTCGAGGTTGCATGGTAAGCCAATCTCGTACGGTGAATAAAAGTTAAATGCACCGACAGCAACAGCCTCGTGATGATACACCACCACTCTCCAAAAACAAGGGCCTTACACAAGGCTCTCAGGCTCTCAAAGCTACCTTTATATAGCAGCACATAGACGAGTGACCATGATACGTAAAAATCCAAGTCGATGTACATTTTTTCCTTTGTTGCGTACCCGGCGGGTTGAGGGGGAAGTGAGGTTATCGTGAATTGGTTTCTGATGATCCCCCTCCATACATTATGTCGTCGAGAGAGTCAATACGAAATTCACGCCGGAGCCTCGTGATTATTTCTATCTCTCTCACCGCCTCGAAAATAAATCATTGGTGTAAGTTTTGGCACCTCGAATGTTTTCTTTCAAAATGCGCCTGCACACACTCCCATTTCCATTTTTGTAATTCAGGTCAACTTACCATCCTCCCCCTTCACGCCATCACCATCTATTGTTCGTCGAGGACTTCGATCAGTCACGGTCACGACTGTCGACGCTATCACCGAGGCAACTTTGGCAAGAAAGAGTGATAAAGGCTCGACTTTTGTTGTCCCGCCGCCGTCCCCGCCCCTGTCGCCATCGGTATGCCTCGTCTTGCGATTGAGGACCCAATTATCCTTGACGATGACTCCGACGACGAGACCTTCCAGTACTACCAACAACCTGTTAGCCCGCTGACAGTCGCAGCGTCTTCACTAGAGGATGCTTTGTTTGCGGACGATGGGCTCGGCGAGAGCCTGGAGGACGACGACAACGGGGAGAACTTTCCCTTCGCTGTGAACGAGCAGCCTCTAGACGTCGACACCGGCGACTCGTCCGAAGAGCCAGTGGCTGCTATTGCCCATACGATATTTGATAACGAGCTGCCCGCTTCCAGAGTGTCGGATGCCACGTATGATTCGGCCAAAGGCGGCCTCACCATCGATCTGCCATGCTCAACTCTCATTAACCCACGCTCCATTGCCGTCAACTACGCTCCCCCTCTTCCGATTTCGACAGAGCAACACGCCCTTGACAGTCTTACACATCTAGCCGAGCGACAAAGCACAGGCAACGGCCCGGGTCTCGATTTCGTCTACATTGATTTAGACGACTTTGAGATTTATATCCATAGGCGCGAAGCAAAAATTCGCCTACGTTCGCTCCACTTCCTGGGCGCCGGCAAAAGAAACAACAACCGCATGTACTTTGACGGCGTCCTCCGCGTCGGGGCGGCTCGGTTCTACGTGCAAAGAGTACCCTTCGATGACGCTCCAGTCGACATGTACCGCACTAGATGCGACACGATCCGGGGCCACGTCAGCATCCGATCCGTGCTCAACAAACGTCACGGCCGCTCCATCTACTACCGTCTTGGCCAGCCGTCGGTTGTGTACGCCCGCTTCTACGGGCCCTACCTCTGGGTCGCCGATCTGGGGAAGCACTTCATCGACTTCGTGGACTACATGACGGATCGTGGCCGTGACGTTCGTGTTTCGCACTTTCGACTACACTTTTCCAAGTGGTTACGCAAGACGTATGGCCGATCGCCGGCTGTGGCTGCATGGCGGGACAAGTACGGCGCTGGCCGAGACGACTTTGGTCCTGCCGTTGTCGCGTATAATGACTATTTATACAAAGAGGCGACGGCCTTGTTCGGCAAAACGTTTGTAAGCGGCCTAGGCTTCTTTCGCGAGACCACAGAGTTTTCCTTCTACAAGACGCACCAGCCACGCGTTCCTTTCGACCATCCGCCTTCCATGCCGCTCCGGACGGTTGTCACCCCATACATGTACCACTTGTTCAAGGACATGGCCATTGGTCCGTACCTAGAGAGCACACCTGGCCAGCATGCCCCTCGAAGCATCGACGGAAAACTCATCCTCCCGCAAAAGCGTACACCTTTCATCACCGGCCAGTCATCGTCGACCGTCAACGGACGAAGCATCCGACCGGGAGACGTGATATCAACGTGGCACGACGAGGCTGGAAGCGGCAGCAAGTGGTCCGCCAGTGCTGAAAAGTCCGATTTATGGTACGCGCTCGTGCACCGTGTGATCGAGCCCCAACGCCTCAACGGCCCACGCTCTTTTGACATTGTCTGGCTGTACAGGCCTGAGCACACACCTTGCGGCGACATGAAGTACCCGTGGGCCAAAGAGCTGTTTATGTGCGACCACTGTACGTGCAGCGAAAACAACCACAAAAACAGCAGATATGGGAGGGTGCATTCGATCGAAGAAGACGAGGTCGTTGCTCTCAATTCCGTTGAATGGTTTGGCGGCCCAGACACGACAGCCGACTTCTTCATCCGGCAGACATACCTGCATGGCGAACGCAGCTGGGTGCAGCTGCGACTAGGCCATGTTTTCTGTAAGGATAGCGTGGCTGAAGCGCACCAGAGCGCACTTGCCCCCTACCTTGGCACGACCCTCGATCCCGTCGAGAGCATTGGTGTCTTCGAGAAGGAGCCCAACTACGTCGTGGGCGATACGGTGCTAGCAATTCTTTCTAAGACGAACAAGCGCTCAGAGCCGTATGAAGTCCAAGACATTCTCAGAACCAGGCAGCCAAGCAGCTGCTGCCAAAACCAACCCTCGCAACTAATACGATACCGGCTTCGGCGGCTGCGACGACGGAGCGAGGCCGACCCGGATACACCAGATGCACCGCCCAACGAGCTATTGTACACCGACGAGACCGTTGTAATCACGAAGCCGTCCTTTATTATCTGTCGCTGTGTTGTTCGCATTTTCCCAGACCACATCAAGGAAATCCCTACTCCATACAACCGCGGTGGTGCTGGGAACGTTTTCTTTATGATATATCGACTCGAAACGACGGCAAAATCCAAGATTGACAATGGCGAGTTCCGTATTGTACCACTTGATAGGGCCAAAGACGCGCCTAACCTCCGTCAAGGTTTTGACCCTACTACACCAGTATCTCGGCTCCGGGCGCTTGAGCTCTTTTGTGGGTGCGGTAACCTAGGCCGCGGCATCGATGACGCGGGCGCCACCGAGACGCGATGTGCCAACGACATCTGGCCAGTGGCAATGCACACTTTCATGGCCAACGTTGCGTCGCCTGACACAGTGACACCGTTCATCGGCTCCGCCGACACGCTCCTTGAGCGGGCCATTGGCCGCCGCAGCGCACCGCCAACGTCGGCCATCCCCCAGCCCGGTGACATTGACTTCATCTCCGGTGGCAGCCCTTGCCAAGGCTTCTCGAGACTGACGAGGGACAAGGAGGCACACGGCCAGTACAAAAACAGGTCGATGGTGGCGTCGTTTGCGTCGTTTGTGGACGTGTATAGGCCCAAATTTGGCCTTCTCGAAAACGTCCTAGCCATTATCAACAATGGAAAGTCAGGCCACCAGCAGAGACGGCAAGACATCTTTGGGCAGCTGGTCTGTTCACTCCTAGGCCTCGGCTACCAGCTGCGCATCATGCTGGGCAATGCATGGTTGTATGGGGCGCCCCAACAACGGCAGCGTGTTTTTCTTATATTCGCAGCGCCAGGCTTCCAGCTGCCCGATATTCCTTCCCCTTCACATGGTTCGGAGGCTAGCAAGGGCTGGCTAAAGAGCCAGCGCACCATTGGCCGATTAGCAAACGGCGAGTACATCGCAGCAGCGAAAAGCAATATCACCGCGTTTCCTATCGTGTCAGTTAGACAGGCGACAGCTGACTTGACAGACGACCCGGCTGCTCAAATCAACGACGGGATCGTCGATATCTGTGTGCGGCACCCAGATCACCGAATCGTTACCGCCGAATCGGACGCGATGCAGCACAAAATTGCTGCGATCCCTACACAGCCCTATGGTATGGGGCTTGCACAGGCTCGACGCACGCCGCACTTTACACTGTTCGGTCAGAGTGCATTGTTCAGTGAACGTGAGCTTGCGGCAAATGACACCAGAGCGTACAAGCGGACAAATCCGACGCAGCTGTTCAAGACGGTGCGCACTATGTGTACTGTTGCTGACTCACGATCCGCCGAAGAATTACATTGGCGAGATGCGCGGTCCTTGAGCATCCTCGAGATTCGGCGCGCACAAGGCATGCCGGATGATGACCTGCTGCTTCAGCAAAAGAAGGCCGACCAGTGGAAGCTGGTGGGAAATGCGGTGGCGCGGCAGATCGCCCTGTCTCTGGGCCTCTCTTTGCGGGAGGCGTGGCTTGGCACGCTGTGCGAGGATCGGAGGCCCACGCAGCCTGTACGGGCACCTGTTCCCGGCCCTGAGTCTGTGTTAGAACTGTCGACCGTCGCTTCTGAAGAAGACCTTGGCCATGACGGCGTGCCTTTTGCAAACGTCGTGCCACTGGCCCTGACGACGACGACAACGACGACAACGAGTACAACACTGGTGACAACCCTGACACTCACGACAACTACCACAAGGACAGAGCGTTACAAGCAAAAACGCATCTTCCAGACCGGCGTCTGTAGCAAGCAATCATCGTTTCCCGCGGAGCCTCCTTCGTCGAAGAAGCGGCCTGCTCCGTCGCAAGATAGCGGTCTCGATGAATTTTCGGGCGATTTTGGCGCGGTAAAACGGTCGCGGACTTGGTCGCCGCCGTAGCCTCTGTGGCTGTCGAAGTCGAATAGCGTGGATGGAAACAACATGGAAAAGTTTAAGCGCCAAGTCAACATAGATCCAGTTGTCTGCATAAACGACGTGGATGAGCGTTGTGTGGTTGTGATTGATTGAAAACTGGAAGGGCCAAACAGGGGTGCCGCGATAGGAAAATGCCGAGATAAGAGAGGGCGTCAAAATATGCCGAGAGGAAAGGGCGACGAATCCGGGGGTGCAGGTGTTCCTGCCGTTTAGGACGGTTTGCACCTGCTCTGTTCTCTACAAATAAACAACGCTAAAGGCACGATGGTATCCTAACGGAACCTGATCTCATCATGATCATATGGCATATATGACCACAGGCATAAAATACAACTAGTTAATACTACGTACGATTCGATCCAACCGTTCAAAATACGGAGCTAGTATTACATTTACATGAGTGCAGAAAATAATAGGAAGGAGCGTACTGCTACTGTCCTCTTGTTTGTGACAAACGGAAAGAGCAATTTCTTTTACCAAAAAGGGCAGGAACCTCATCGATTTGACGGAGCTGCCGTCGAGCTCCAAGGGGGCCTCTCTCCTTTCCGTAACATCTCCCATCAACTTTTTTTGACATAATCTAGATGGCTTCTCCTTCTCACACCCGCTCACCTTCGTTACCGGCCCATTGTCGCGCTGGGCCTAGAACAATCTTTTCCGCCGTGCGCTGTTTCATGGCTTGATTATGCAGGCCTTTTACTGGCTGCTGTTTCTCACAGCCAAATCGTGTCGTCAATTTACTGAGAGGCCCAACTTAACTTCTCGTCGTTTCGCCCCCCCAATAAACACGGTAGAGAGAGCCGGTCGCACGACAGAGTGCCCAGCGCTTGTTGGCTTTGGTGAGTTGGGAGTGTCGAGGTTGGACGTTGAAGTAGCCAATCATGGCTCGGCTTGTGTTTGTTTCAGCGCTGGACGGAAACAGTCAGGGGTCATTCAAATGCCGGCCGCGACTGGGCGAGAGCGCCGCTCGCAGAGACTGTCGGAATACGACCTCCACTTTTAGCTGACGATTGGCCGACAGCTATTGACACGGTTATTTTTGGCATACAGGTGGAGAAAACCACTTACACGGAGCCACCATCCAGGGCAATTGACGATGAACGAGGCCAGGTTCGACATTGCGTCTTGAAATGTCGACGCTGTGTTTCTAGACGCGCTGAGGCGTGGGCCGGGGAAGGGCAGAAGGGTATCCGGATAGTACTTACCGGGGTGACCCTTTGAGACGAAGAAAGAAAGCATGACAAGGTAGAAGACACAAAGACGACGCCACTCCACCGGCCAGTTGGCGAAATGAGGCCAGATCAAGAGACCATGGCTGCCCAATTCCTATGGCAGATGGCTTCCCTCTCTGGTGAGTTTCTTCTCGATTTCACCTTTCATATTGCTGTTCTATTTTCAAACTGCTAGCTAAAAAAGCGCGAGAACTATTCCACATACTGGCGACTGGTCGTCAGTTTCACCCAGCTTCAGCCCTATCCTTGTCGCATCCTTGTCAACAAAGCAGTCTGGGCCTTGTTTGGCGTCTACAGAGTATTTGCACGTTTGGTTCTTAGACGTCCATCGACGCTTCTCTTTGCATCGAACGACTGGCTCGAATCGACTGAAATATAGAAAAAGACTCGAGCACCACTTCCCCATCCTCTCACTTCCACCTCCTCGTCTACTGTCATTGTCACGCGTACCTGTTCTTAATCTGTTTCCTGGCCTGGTCTCTGTCGTTCGTTCCCCTCGCACTCTCGTTTTATTTTCTCTCTGCCGGATATCACGGCATACACATTCGTTTTAGGTGCCAGATCATTTAGACACTCCAGTACATTGTTCTTTTTTGGTTCCCTCTTTCTTCCATTTCCTTTCACCTTTCACTGTTCATAGAACGAACTCTCTTTCACTCATTTCGCGCCCTTGCCCTGTTTCAGCTATTTCACGACCACCTCCTCCTTTACTTGTCATTTATTCACACACTCAGGTTCTAGACTCATTCGTTGTTGCATTTGTTCCTGTCACAATTTTCCCTAGTTGCTCGTTCGTGAACCTGCGGTTTTCACACGGCCATCCTTTTTTTACCTTATCTCCCTTGACCACCTCGTTCATTATATTGCTCGTTCTTTGCAAGGAAGACGTGCTTTATTTCCTCTTTCTCGTTTGCCGCTGCTACTTCTTCTTTCACTCATTACTTGATCTTCCTTTGATTGTTGCTGATACTCGAACCACAAATTTGATCTTGTTTGTTTACTCAGTCTTTCAACGTCAAAGCACCTTGTTCACATTCTTTCTCCGCTAGATGTTGAACAAGCACGGCAAGTCAAAAATACGTCACTGCGCCTCTCTTTTTACTTAATTTCCATACTCTCTTTCTCTCACTTCGGAAACTTTTGCTTGGCTTGACCCAATCTCCATTTACACAAAATCTATTAAGACAGCTGGATTTCTGTCCTCAACCCTTCCCATCGACACTAGTTCTTGATTTCCTTCCCTAATTTCGTCTTTCCACCGTCTTTTTCTAGACACTCATTCAAACAAACATCAATAGCTGGCCCTTTGCCTTCTCACGCATTATCGACCAAATATCAACAAATCCGAATAAGATCCGACCAAGCCGCAGGATGCTCGCATCCATGCTTCTGCTCCTCCTCGCAGCTACCGCTGCCGTCGAGGCTAGTCCGCTCGGCCCCTTTGGCCTCCGCCAGCCTCATCGGCCCATCGTTGCACGCCGTGATGTATTTTTCAACGACACGACTAGCACCTCCAGCGCGTCTACTGTTCAGAATATCCCAACCACGACTAGTGAATCCCCCAATTTATCATCTTTCGTAGCTTCGGCTTCGCTTTCATCGACAGTCAGCCTGGGCTCGCTCAAGAGTGACAGCTCGTACAGCACCTTGCCGAGTTTCTCACCGAGCGTCCCGCCCATATTTCCTTCGACATCGACTTCGCCCACATTGCCCGAGACGCCGCACTCCTTACCGTCGCCGACTTCTCTTGAGGTCATACCAGCTGGCAACCAGACATCTGAAACATTCACGCCGCCAGCGACATCGCCAACCACACCCGCACTTTCTGCAAACAGCTCAGAGTCTGTCTTGACAACTGCCATCTCTTCCCATACATCCCGACCTGCTGTGGTTACTCCTTCCACAAACGCGACGGAGCCGTTCGGTGTACCCGCGCATTCTTCACTGCCAAAGACAACTTCTGCCTCGAACGGGACTGCCACAAACGCAACGACTCCTGCGGGTACCACCTCCCCTCAATCCTCACTGCCACATGCGACACCGGCGTCGAATGCGACAACAAACAAGACGGTACCAATTGACGCCACATCTCATTCGTCGCTGCCACAGACGACCCCGGTGTCAAACTCAACATCCACGAACGCAACGGCGCCCGCCAAGACTCCCTCCCAGTCATCACTCTCCCCAACGGTAACGCCGCATCCAGCGTCCAATGCTACATCCAATGCCACTGTTCCTGCCGTTGATGTTTCCTCAACCCCGACACCGTCAGTGCCTGTCTCCAACCACACGACTGTCGCATCATCACTGTCACCGTCATCCAGCCCTGGCACAAACACGACTGCGGTATCCAACAGCACAGTGTCAGTTGTTCCGTCGGGCGGTTCTGCTAACAATGATACATCGACTAAGACTACGCCAACTGCTTCAAAGTTGTCTTCGTCGTCCTCTCCGTTGTCATCTTTAACGCCAGAAGAGTTTTCAACGACTCCCGTAGTGCCTAACAGGACGTCATTCTCCACATCTTCGACAATTTTGTCCTCGCCATCCTTGCCATCTTTTCCATCTTCAACGTTGTCCATCCCGTCGGTTTTCACGACTTCAGTGTTTTCATCTTCCTTACCAACACTGTCTCCCACATCAGCGCTATCGTCGCCGGCTACAACTACCTCTCTACCTCGGAAACCAACCGGTGGAGCGAATTCCCAGGTTCCAACGTTTCGCTCAAGGACGGATATGCCTACTAGCACTGCTGCACCCGATGTCTATGCAGCGAACGTGGGATTTGCTAAGAATGATAATGCCGCCTACGCCAATCTGACCCTCGAATCACGCTGCATAGAGAATCAGGTTGCGTGTATCGGTGGTAATGTCATGAGGTGCGATGCCACCTCAAGTATCTTTACCCTGATTGCAACCTGTGATCCAGCCTCAGGGACAAGCTGCTTCGCCATGCCGGACCCATACGAGTCCGGTGTCGATATTGGTTGCGTCAACGTGCAGACGGCTGAGGCGGTTCTCGGCATCACAGTTGACTCACCGGCTGCCTCGTCTTCATCACCGTCACAATCAACAGCATACTCACTATCCATTTCTTACACCGGCACGACGACATCTAGGCTTCGATTGACTCTAACTACTTTTATAACCAAATCGATCTCCAACACGCCCACTGCTGTAACCCTGTCCACAGCATCTACATCGACGACCAAGTCGACTGCAAAGTTTACGTCCAAGTCTACTGTACCTCAAGCCACACCCTCTGGATTCGTGACCACCGCTGAACCGAGTGCCCACGCATCTTCCGGAGGGCCAGTGGTGGTCGTCCCCGTGACAACGACATCGCTTTCGTACACACCGCATCCCTATACTGCGATTGCAGGTGGAACAACGGCGTCGCCAGCCTCGGCTTCATCGTCGCCAGCAGTGTTTCACACAGATGCTCCAGCAGCAGCAGCACCTCCCACGGTGACCACAAACGTCAACACAAACACACAAGCGACCGTCACAATTATTCAGACGGTCAGCATCCACGACACAGTGACCAAGGATGTTACGACCACGGCTACAGTCACAGCGACCACCACCGAGACTGAGGCAGCTACTACATTTACCCAGCGTGTGAATGTTATTGGTTAGAGTGGTGTGGCGCACTTGAGCTATATTGGAACAAACGTTCACTTTTTCTCCTTTGTCTCTTGTTGTTTTGATCAAACTTTTCTGGTTAACTCTTTTAGACTATCTTTATTCTCTCAAAAACCAGGACAAGGTAGCTTTTTCCCTTCTTTGTACTTGTTTTGGAGTTTGTTTGTTGCTGCCCGTAGGCTCGCGGGGTTTTGATATCGGTGGATCCTTATTTCTTGGATTATCTACTGTTTTGAATTTGTTTTCTTATTTCTCTAAAAAAATAATACCAAATTTTTGCGATAATCTTTTAACCAAATAAGATAAAAAAAAAAAAAAAGGAAAATGAAAATAGCACGTTTTGAGAATGAACGGTAAATAATAGTAAAATGCCTCCTAGTCTTCCTTTTATCACCAACCAATGAATGCTATGGTGTGTTTCGGTGCACCTGCCTGAGACGGTCTGCCATCAGTGTAAGTCGCGCCTTCTGCACATCAAATCCTCTGCAAGCCTTCCGTTTAAAACATCTCGTCCCCTCCAACTCTGAAATCGAGCACGTGATATAGCTTACTTCCCTTTTTGTTAAACAGTAGCATTGCACAAAGCTCGGCCTTCTCTTTTCCCGAATTACTGTATTTTGCACATCTTCTCATCACAACATCATCAGTTATTTGTGTGCTTCCACCACGGCCCATCATCAGAGCTATTCCTTACCGATTATCTGTACGATTCTGTCTCCGTCATGATATAAGTGGGGCACCTTAGCACTAGACCGCCGTCGCAAAAACCGACCGTCCAAAGGCGGTGGCTCAATTTGGGCAGCGTTTTAGCCATTCTGGAGGCCGGCAGAAAAAAAATCCAGCGTTGCGATTCCGAAGATCTAGTGTTTGAGCAGCTCTCCTCTGCATCCTTTGCTGCACCTTTGCACATTGGCACCTCTCCCTCGGTATCTGAAACGTCTCTGACGTTCCATACCGTCCCAACTACCGCCACGATGGATTCTGAGGACTTCAAGGCCCAACAGCAAAAGATCCATGCTGCGCTCGTTGCCGTAAATCGTTCCGTCAACGGCATTGCCTCCGAAGATCTCACCTTCCTGCGCACCGTCAATCCGTCTGTTGCCGGCGAGCTCGATGAACAGGCGGCACGCCTTTTGCGCCTCTCCAATGGCCTTCTCAAGTCGGCTGCAGGGGCCACCGGAAAACGCGCTCCGCCCCAGCTCGATGACGCCGACGACGTCGACCTTAACTGGCGCGGCGTTGTCGACGTGATTGACGGCCTGCTCGAGAAAGCTGACACCACCCTTGACGAATACACCGGCCTCCTCAAGCGCAAGGATGCACCTACTACTGAAGGTGGCTCTGACTCCAAGAAATCCAAGCAGCAAGGCCCCGGAGCAACGGGCGCCTCGGGCGCCGGCACAGACCGTCTCGACTGGAACATTCGCCGCGCCAACATTCCGAAGCCGCAAGAGCTGTTCGAGCGCAAGCCCGACAACTTCGACAAGGGCCCCTGGAAGCCGATTCTGACGACAAAGCCACATGCGATTGTGCCACTCGAGGACAGCCTGACGACGTTTGTCGACGAATACAATCTGACGCAGTTCAAGCACCCATACGAAGCCGAGATCAAGCAACTACACTACCCTGAAGCCGTCCATAAGTCTCACGAACCTATCCTCTATCAGCCCGTCGAGTCTACGTCCGCTGTTTGGGTTGACACCTTTGAGGGTGTTGAGGCCATGCTCGCAGAGCTGCGCGAAGCCGACGTGATCGCGGTCGATCTTGAACACCACGACTTCCGCACCTACAGTGGCCTGCTGTCACTCATGCAGGTCAGCACCCGCACCAAGGACTGGATTGTCGACACCTTGCAGCCCTGGCGCCACCGTCTCGAGATTCTCAACGAAGTCTTTGCCGACCCTACCAAACTCAAGGTCTTCCACGGTGCCAGCAGTGACATTGTGTGGCTGCAGCGCGACCTTGGCCTCTACGTTGTTGGTCTCTTTGACACCTACTTTGCTTGTGACTGCCTCGAGTACAGCAAGCGCAGTCTGGCCTTCCTTCTCGAGCGCTTTGTCAACTTTGACGCCGACAAAAAGTACCAGATGGCCGACTGGCGCATCCGCCCGCTCCCCGAGGAAATGCTTTATTACGCCCGCTCCGATACTCACTATCTTCTGTACATCTACGACATGGTGCGCAACGAGTTGGCTTCCAAGTCCGACCCCACCAACCCCGAAAAGGACCTGATTTCATACGTCCTGAAAAAATCCAAGGAGGTTTCACTCTCCCGCCACGAGGCCCTGCTCTGCGACCCCGAGACCGGCATGGGCACCCGCGGCTGGCTCAACAACCTTCTCAAAACCTATACTCTGCTGAGCGGCGAACAGTTTGCCGTTTATCGTGCACTTTACCAATGGCGCGATGATCTCGCACGGCGTTTGGACGAGAGCCCCGGATTCCTCATGCCCGTGCGTGTACTCTCCGACATTGCGCGCATTCTTCCACCGGATCGGAAAGCTCTGCTGAGCTTGCTGCACAACACGGCCCGCGTCACCAAGTCGTCCATGAACGAGCTCTTCACGCTTATCCAGGATGCCCAGGCCCGCGGCGCTACGGGGCCTACATCGATTGAGTTCCTGCGGTCCGACGCCGTCGGTGCCTTGGTCAAGGCGAACCGGCATTTCAACCTTTCTGCGTCACACGCGGCCGGCACTAGTACGGGTGCTGCACTTGAAAAGCCGAAAAATGTCGAGCCTCTACCGAACGTCACAGAACTGCGAAGTACGTTCTCGCAGCTCTGGGGCAAGAAACCAATTGGCGGGAAGAGGGTTGGAAGCACTGGGGGTGAGGACGCGGGTGGCGTGCCGATTGAAGCACCGTGGTTCGTCCAGGCTGCCATCTCTATCACTGCAGACGGTGCAGCGCCGCCGACAGCCGCTCCTGCTCCCAACCCTGTCCCAGTCACTAAGCCGATACCGTCAGAGGACTACATTGAGTTCCTGTCGCCGGCTCAGAAGGCTCAACCAGCACGGCCAGAGGCAGCGGATGCGACGCCTGCAACGCTAGCACCCGCAGAGAAGGTCGACGAGATGAATGAGGACGAGGCAGAGGAAGAAGAGGACGAAGGCGCTTTCACACTAAAGTGGGGCAAGAAGGACGGCAAGGCGGCTGCTTTGGCCACAGATAACAAAAAGTTCTTGTCCGAAGCCCAACAGCAGAAGCAGCTGAGAAAAAAGGAGAAGAAAGAGGCCCGGCGAGCAGCGAAACGGAGCAAGTCCGAGTCGGCTGGGTCAGGTCTCGAGATTGGCATGGGCGGCGAAGAGGGTGCGACGACACAGACATCAGATAGCGACGGCGGCGGTGCTCGCATTGACGCCACCGATAACGATGACGAGGCCATAGCCGATGGCGTTGAGAATAACAGCGACTTTGTGCCGTTCAACTACGACACGGCCGGGTCGGTGCTACACCCGAAGAAGACGGCTGCCGACAAAAAGTCGCCAGCCAATGCAAAGAAGGTCTTTAACCCGTACGGTAGCAAGGGCGACGACGGGCCCAAGGCGGCGCGGCGGATGCACTTTGAGAAGATGGGCAAGACGGGTACCTTCAAGAAGTGAGGAAGGGGAAGGTGGCCGTGTGATTTCAAAATGGGAGGTTGGAGAAGGTCCTTTCTCGGCGTTACGTTGTGCGTTCTTGCGTTTCCGATTTGGCATTCTTTTGGCGTTTCACTGGGGTTTTCTTTGCTTGTTTTCTACTGTTCCACGGGTGCCCTGTGTACTTTTCTTGTACTTTTCGTTTCGTTTCTGTTTCGTGGCTTTGGCTATGTGAATAGGTATACCTTTTTCTTTCTTAGACAATGCACTTGACGCGCGACCTGGGCTCAATCTCAGCCGGAACCCACGTCGGCATTTTGTCTGTTTGTATCCTGCTTTCTATTTCGTAAACCAAAAGAACGTAGATTGACGATAATTGGGACTGTGATGTTCGCCGATTGTCAACATGACGTAGATACTCGGATACAGCGATATTGATATACGCCGCGGACCAAGACCCACTAAAATGCACCTTCCACTGAAGTGGCCAACTGACAGCTCCCTGGGAGCTCCTTCCTTATGCCCATTGATACCAACAGCGACGACGACGACACATCGCCGCATTCTTGACCACAAACTCGCCATTCTCGGATACAAGTACGATTCTTGACCTTCTTTTCAACCACACTGTCGAATAAGAATGGTACGACTCCACGTGCGCGCAAGATGACGACCTCCTCGGACGCACCGCTGGTGGTCTTCCCTTTTGGCGAGCCGGACCCCCGCCTTGAGGACTACCTCGACGACAAGCTGCAGTCCACGGCCGACCTCGACACGCTCGATGCGCTGCTCCAGGGGGTGAACCTGCAGCATGATCAGCTGCAGACCCAACTTGACGATGCTGCGCGTGCTTTGGAGGACGCCCGTGGCGCGGCTGCTTCGCAACGAAATGCCTTCCAAGACGCTCTGGCCGAGTTTGACGGCCTCGAAGACGATATTATGCGGCGCCTCGCTGTGGCTAACGCGGAAAACGCGGCGCCCGAGGCCGTTGTGCAGCGACTGACGGGGCCCATGGAGCACCTCCAGCGCGTCACCCTGGCACACGACTACTTGGTGCTGCTACAAGACGTCGGTCAACTGGCCGACGCCGCTCGCGCTGCATTGCCCGACCGGCCCAAGGACGCGCTGGAACCATACACACGGCTGAGACGGCTGGCCACGCGTTTGGTGGAGTTGCAAGGCGCTGCGGCCGATACGGGGGCACCGGCTGCGCATCTGGTGGCCCATGTGGGTTCCGTGGCGAATGGGTTGTGGGCGGAAATGAATGCGACGATGCGTAGCGATTTTGCGGCATTGCTCGAGAAGCGCGGCTGGCCCAGCGGCGTGGACGCGGCGATTCCTGCAGACGAGACGTGGCGGGATGGATTTGGGAAGCTTGTCGATCTTCAGGTGCCTGAGATCCTCGAACGGTCCGCTGTTTTGTCGTCTTCTGCTTCCTCTTCCTCTTCCTCTTCCTCCTCTACCCAAAGCGAACCTCTCCCACTTTTACCCATCGATGTCATGGCACAGATCTTTATCAAGGAGTTCCGATACCATTTCTTGACAGACGGCCGCCGGACAAGCGAACCTCGGCAGTTTGGCGACGTGTGCTGCCCCTGGTTTCTCGAGCGGGTCGAGACGTGGTCCGACTTTTTGCGGGCGAGTTTTGCGGACCTGTTGGCGGACCGCTTTGAAGGCACCGGCGCGGGAGATAAGATGGCCTACGTCGACCCTGTGTGCGCCCTGGTGGCTTCCCTGCTGCCAGTGATGCGCGAAAAGGTGCAGCAGACGGTTGTCTATGCCGTGGCACAGCTCCACCAGCAGAGACAGCAATTGGAGCAGCAGCAAGGTGCCGACATCGCGGGATCTGCGCCCGTTCTCACGACACCCACATTCCTGGGTAACCTGATCGTGCAACTGCTTGCCTTTGATGAGGAACTGCGGACGCGATTTGGCTACGACGGTGGGTTGGGCAGCTCATCAGCGTCGTCAGCTCGCTACTGGCCCGGCCTGGCAGGCGAACCCGGCGGCGTGCTCGACCTGCACTTCTCTCTGTGGCTGCAGGCCGAGAAGGAATATGCGCTCTCGCGGTACCGCGAGATTGTAGATGGCACATCGCAGGCCGCGCTGGATGCTCGCGCCACGATTGACTACGATTACAGTGGCGCCGGGCGGACAAAGCCGACCCTGGCTGCCGTGCACGTTGTCGACTTGCTGCGGGCAGTGTCGGGCCAGTACCGCTACTTGCGCAAGTTCCACCACCGCCTGCGATTTTTGATCGACATTCAAATCACGTTGCTCGACGCCTACGATGAGCGTCTGCGCGGTTCGCTCGAGACGTACGCGTCCATGACGTCGGCCGTCGGGCGCACGCTGCACGGCGTAACCAAGGAGCAGCTGGCGACTCTCGAGGGCACGGGCGGGCTCGAGGCGCTCTGCCGCGTGTTTGGCAGTGCGGACCACTTGATAAACACGCTGCGTGAGTGGGCCAACGAGGAGTTCTTTGTCACACTCTACAACGAGCTGGAGACGCGGTCCAAAAAGGCCGAGCAGGCCGAGCGGGCCGGAGGGACGGGCCAGCTGGGTGGTGGCCTCAGCGTGAGCAATGTGCGCGATCGTACCGTATCGTCGGCTGCTGTCGATGGCGGCGCCCACAAGAACCACGGCGACGGCAACATGGACGAGGACAACCTTTTTGACGGAACCATTCAGGCGTTTAAGCAGCGGCGCAAGGCTGCACAGGACTTTCTCGTGTCGACACTGGCCGACTCGCACCGTAAGGCGTTCCGCCCATACGTTCTGCGGACGCAGTGGACGACGGTCGCCGGGAATGGCCGCGGAAGTATCGACGACAGCAGCGACGCTTCTGCGACTGTATCTAGTGCTGGCACAGTCATCTCCCCGGGTGATCTTGCCATCACACCGGAACTTGACGAGCCTCTGCGCATCATCCGGCGCAACCTCGAGTTCCTGGCCCGTGCACTCGGCACGGTGCCGCTGCGGCGCGTTGTACGCGGTGCCTTTGAGAAGCTGCAAGACCATCTCTGGGGCGATGTGCTCATGGCCAACAAGTTCACGACACTGGGCGCCGCACAGTTTGCGCGTGACATCTCGGCCGTGGTCTCGACGGTGGAGCGACAGGTGCCTTTGGGATCCACGGCACTCGAGGGCCTGCGTGAAGGCGTGGCGCTGTTGAACTTGCCTGTATCGGTACCGGCCGACGCTAGCAGTGACGGCAGAGCTTCCGTCACTCTGCAGCAGGCTAATGACCGCATGTTTGTTGACAACACAGAAGCGAAAAAGCTGCTGCAAGAACTCCAGTTGACGACACTGACGCCTCCGACAGGACGAAATATTATACAGCGGAGGATCGAGAGTAGTGGATGAGCATTTTGAAGTGTGTTGTTTTATCAGTTTGTATTTCTTCTTTCCTGTTCAAATTTCCAGCCTGCGCTGAAGCGGTAATTATAGAACGGGTTAAATGATTTTTGGTATGCCCAAACACGAGAGAATATGTCGAAACCAGCATAGATATCCCCAACGTCGACAAAACGAAATAAAATAAAATGCCCAATATTTTCCAGAATCGAAACCCGGTGCCGTCTAGCACTGTATACCGGGGACCCTTTGTCGCATCCGTACACCGCGAGTGTTGAAATTTCGTCGTTGCGACGTATATGCGGTAGTTCTCCTTTATCCACACCGTATCGTCATTCTCTAAATATCCACTAGCACCCTCCCACACACTCCAGATGGGACCCTAGTTGATTGCCCGCATCGTGGCTTCGACAACGGCAAAGGTTCCCGCACTCACGGGCATGGCACGCAGCAGCGTCGGTGCCAAGCCGCGCCAGAAGCCGCGTGCGCCTTCAGTCCGGAACGTCTGCGCCACGCAGTCGCGCAGGCTCTTGTAGCGCTGGTCGGCCGGCCGCAGCGCGTCTGTCTGCATCTTGCTCTTGATCACGTCAAAGGGATACGACGACAGCCACAGCGCCTCGCCCGCGAGACCGCCGTAAAAGGCCACCTTGTATGCCGGCACATCCTTGCGCTCAATCTTGTTGCGCGCCGCGTCCGTGTTCATCAGGTACTCAAACGTCGTGAACCACACGCCGTACGCCTGCGCCTCACGGTACACCGTCACCACCTGGCCGCGGTACAGGCCACGCGCCACGCCGCCGCCCTGCGAAACGAGCTTCTTCACGCAGTCCACGGGGCCATGGTACAGCCGCTCGGTAGCGCTGTGGGGTTGTGTCTGCAGGCGGATACGGACGTGCTCGATAGGGCCCGAGAGCACCGAGTTGGCGATACCGGCGAACGCGCCGGAGGCGTAGTATTGACCGTAGGAGAGGTCGCCCTTCTTGGCGGGGCCAGCGAGGTTGCGGGCCTCGAACCACCGGCGCGCCTGGTGGAAGGCACCAAACTGAACGGACACGCAGGCACCGATACCGAGGAGGGGGGTCAGGGTACCCTTGTAGAAGGCGAGAGGGCCCTCGGTCTTCCAGATGGCTGTGGCGGCACTGAGGGCGTTGGGGTAGGCGCTGGTGGTCTGCAGACGGACCTTTACAATATCAAACGGTTGGCCTGGCAAGAGACGGTTAGCAATGCGGCCATGGAGCTTGAAGCAAAGGAGGGTCTCGGGAGAACTTCCAACCAAAAAAAAAAAAAAAAACACTTACCGATGAGGACCTGGGCCACGCCGCCAGCAGCACCGGCAACGAGATCCTTGACCGTCTGCAGGCTGCTGCCTTCTTGAGCGTCGACGGACATGGCTGTGAGGAGAGAAAGAGAGGCAAGACAGGCTGGGGTGCAGAAGTATGCCAGGAGCTGGCTGGTCGGAGATGCGATTACGGCGACCTTCGAACGAAGTCGTGAAGAGGGGAAGGCTTTCGAGCAGTCGCAATTGCAGTTCTGATCGCAGACGGGTGCAATTAGTCGTCGTGACGAGATATGTCGAAGGGTATAAACTCGCAGCAAGACCGGAAAGAAAAGCGAGTAAGAAGAGAGTTGTTGATGGAGAGAAAGACTGCGGTCAGACGGGGCAGGAAGTGGATGTCAAGCCTGTGATTGCGGCTTCCGTCAGTATCGCGATAGCGGAGTAGGCCCGTTTTTTGTTCCCTCCCCCAAGATCTGTTTTTGTTACATTTTTTTTTTTTTACTTTTGCCCACGCCGCGCAGTTCGTTCTTTCCCGCTAATTAGGTTCCTTAATCTAGCTCTTGCCGGCAATCGTCAATGGCGAAAGGGGAAGGAGACGGCGATGGAAGCCAGAGACAAGAGGGGCAGGAGCTATCGCCCGTCAGGTACGACGTATTGCACGGCCTAGTGTCGCTTTAAAGAAGAGGGTCGCCTGCAACTGCCTAAAAACTTTTTTTTTTGAAAGTCGCCGTTCTAGGCAATCTGTGCTCCATGCGGCAAAAATTGCGTGCTCCGGCCTAAGCAAAATCCGTCATCGGCTGAAAGCTATTGTGCAACGGGTAGCCGCGATGCGCTAGTAGCCGCTGCGCGGCCGGGAACGTGCGACGGGCAACGCAATCTGATGATGTAAGCGCCGAAAGCCCTGTGTTCTGCGGTTCATAACACTGCTCCATCATCATTACATATCGTTCCCTGTACAATAGATGCCGTGGGAAATGCCCGGGGCTCAATTCTATTCACGCGGCAGACAGCTGTGCCCGTCGTGTACTTTTTTTCAGTCCCCTCTATGATCATTTTGTATGGCCGTAAATGACTTTCATAATCATGTCGCTCCATTGTGAATTCAAGCTACAATGGTATTCCCTTTTTTTTGAGAGCCCTTACACCCGGCTGATTTTGTTGCCGCTTTGCTGCTCGTTGGCCGCCTGTGCCACGTTTTGGATGGCCTCCTTGAGCTTGGCCACCACCTCGGGCTGGTTACTAAAGGCCGTCTGCAGCAGCTCGTCCAGCTCGCGCTCAATCTTGGCCACATTCTTACCGCCAAGCTTGCGCGACGTGCCGTCGTAAATCTGCTTGCCCCACCGCTGCGTAAACGCATTGATCGACCGCCGCAGTGCCTCATCCAGCTGCTCACTTACGTCCTGGTCAGCAGCGCTGGGCGCGACGGGACCGTTGGGAAGCATACCGAGAACCCCGCCCTGCGTCGAGCCTGCCATGCTACCAACAACCGATGCGGCCTTGCCCGAGACACTGGCATATCCGTTGCCGGCCACCGTCGCAGCCGCCGCCGCCGACCCGGCGACAGCGCCCGTCGCACGCGACCAGAGCGATGTGCCGGGGATGAACGTGCTAAAGTAGCCGACAAGGTTCGTGGCCAGGCTCAGGGCGTCCCAGATCTGGCCAAAGTGCTGCATGGCGCCGACGCCACTGCCGTCGTTGCGGATGTCGCCAATCTCGAGCGACAGCAGCTCGTTCTTTAGGATCAGCAGGTTCTTAATCATAAACAGGTCCGGATCTGTGCTGATGCGCGCTGACTTAATGCGCGCCTCTGCTCGTTGCAATGCCAGTATGGTCTCTTTGACAATCTTGAATACGACAGGGCTGTTGCGTTGCTGCAGGGAAGGAATGTCATGTCAGCTACTACTAGTAAAGGCACCGTTTATAAAAAAAAAAAGGGGGGGGGGATGGAACGTACGCATCGCTCTTTCGGCATGGCTTGGTCAAACATGACGAGCAGCTCGATCGCACGGCGCACGGGTGGGTACGCATTGGATGCAGCCTGGCCGTTGGCGACAGGCGCAATCTTGAGCGCCTCGGGCACCACGGGGACCTTGGTGATTGTCTTGGCGACCTCGGCCTCGAACAGTGCGTCGGCGAAGACCCACAAGTGCTCGGCGAGCAGCCGTGCTGCCATTTGCCGGCTGTGCGACGCGAGGTACGACGTGTCGTTACCACCGTTGTCGACGTCGCTGCTACCGCCGTTGTTGTCGTCGTCGTCGTAGTCGAGGAGAAGGTATTCGTGCGTGACCCAGCCGAGCACGTTGCAGACAACGGCCAAATCGTTGGCCGCAGACAGCGCAGCCTGCAACAGCGTCGCCAGCGGCACAACGTTGACGGCATTGACCAAGTCGCTGCGGTAGGCGCGTAGTGTAGCGAAGACCGAGTTCGTGTTCGCGCTATACTGCGGGTCGACGGCAAACACCCTGGCAAAAAGCAGAACCTCGTGGTACGAGCGTTCGAAGCTCTGCTTTATGAAACCGCGCGAGGCCGTCTCCACAGACGTAGATCCATTGGCCGACTTGGCGTCCTTGGTGTCTGCTTGGAAAGCGCGCAGCTCCTGCTGCACAATCGGCCGCAGAATTTGGTCGCGCCACTGTAGATATGTGCGAAAGATGTTGTTGGCCGTGTTTGAGTAGATGGAGTAGCTTTGGTGCTCTGTACGCGCAACGCCAAGTTGCGTGTTGGCACTTGCAATGACCTGCTGCACATTGGGCACGAGCGAATAGGAAGACTCGACGAGCAGCTCCTCAAAGCGACCATACGCGAGCGCATGCTGCGCGGCGTCCGACTTGGTGGCCGCGATCTGCTTCGACAGCTCAGTCGACACCTTGTCGAGGCGTGCGGTAAAGCCTACCTCGAGCAAGTGCAGAGACTTTGTGAGGAGGGACTGGTAACGGGCGAGATAGGATTCTGCGTCGCGATACTCCTTCTGTGCAAGGGATATTATGTCAGCTGGGTGTCTTACGAATCACACGTTGTACGGTTCGGGTAGTGCCTTACATGATGCGCCATGAAATGGATGCACGAGTCCAAGCTGGCGAGAATCTCCGACAGCTCCTCGGTGTCGGCCAACTGACCTGCTCCAGGCGCGTTGAGCCGCCGCGTGGCGTTGTCGAGGTAGCCGTAGTAGTGCAGGTCCGTGCCGACCTCGTCAGCGAGCGTCTTGAGGCGGCGCTGTTCGGAGACGAGGTCGTCACACTGCGCCTGGAAAGACGTCGTCTGTTCTTCGACGGACCGGAAGGAGTCTGCCAGCGACGACAGCAACCGTAATGCCCCATTCGTGTCGTCGACAAGCTGGCCGAGGTGACGTTCTGTCATGTCGAGCTGGTCCCGGTATGTTCTGGCCATGTATCAGCACCAAATCTTTACAAATTCAAACTCAGTTTGGGGCCCTTGCTTACAAAAATTCCTGCTGGCTGGCCTCGAGGAGCTCTGCGTCATGCGCGTCAAGCAGCACAGGCAGTTCCTGTAGCTTTCGCCACTCCAACCCATCGTCCACTCCGAGAAGCGAGTCTGCGATGGCGAGTGCTTCCAATGAGACCTCATTCTTCCGCCGCTGCGTCCGCCTCCGGCTGATGCTAGGTGGCTTGTCCCGTCTGTTGTTCTTTTTCGCCGGTCCCGTTGCTGCTGTTGCTGTCGCTGTCGCTGTTTCTTTAGATAATGCTGCTGCTTCCGCTGCCGCTGCCGCCCACTT